CACAGCATTGTAAGAGGGGGACAGTTGAACCTGGAGGCTCCACCCCTGTTTAATGATGGACGGTTTCTTTTCACAAAGATGGCCTCCTTTACTCCTCTCTCAAACCATCGTTCCTCTCTGTCCAGGATGTGAACATCTTCATCCCTGAAAGAGTGACCGCTGGCCTGGAGATGAGTGTAGACCTCAGAGTCCTGGCCTGATGATGTTGATCTTCTGTGCTGGTCCATCCTTTTGGCCAGTGGCTGTTTAGTTTCCCCGATGTAAGACTGATCACCCTCCTGACACTGAACAGCATACACAACATTACTCTGTTTGTGCCGGGGGACTGGATCTTTGAGATGAACCAGTCTTTAATGTATTTTGGGGTTTAAAAGCCACTGGGACGTTGTGTTTAGAAAATAAACGTCTCAGTTTCTCTGATACTCCCTCAACATACGGAATGACCACTGGTCTGGGTCTGGGTTCCTCCTTTTCACCTGATGCTGACTGGAGTCCTGTTTGGGTTTCTTCTCTGCTTTCAGGAAGGCCCAGTTAGGATATCCACATTGCTCTAGAGCCTGTCTTGTGTAGGATTTCTCCTTCTGCCTGGCTCCTGAGCTAGTGGGGACGCTGTCTGCTCTGTGGTACAGAGTCCTGATGACTCCTAACTTGTGCTCCAAAGGGTGATGGGAGTCAAACTGCAAATACTGGTCTGTGTGGGTGGGTTTGTGGTACACCTCAGTTTGCAAATGTCCTCTATCAGAGACTGAGACCTCACAGTCCAAGAAAGCCAACCTGCCATTTTTTACATCTTCTCGTGTGAACTTGATGTATTTATCCACAGAGTTGATGTGGTCAGTAAAATGTTGGACTTCCTGAGATTTGATTTTAACCCAGGTGTCGTCAACATACCTGAACCAATGACTTGGTGGTGTCCCTGAAAAGGACGTCAAGGCTCTCTTTTCTACCTCCTCCATGTACAGGTTGGCAACAATAGGAGAAACTGGAGACCCCATAGCACACCCATGTTTCTGCCTATAATATTGCTCCCCATATGTGAAGTAGGTTGACTGCAGGCACAGTTTCAAGAGTTGACACAGTTGTTCTGTAGAAAGCGTGGTCCTACTGCTCAGAGTGGTGTCTGATTTTAATCTTAAACTGACCACCTCTACTGCATCATCAACAGGAATGCACATAAAGAGTGATGTGACATCAAAAGAGACCATTGTTTCATCAGTCTTCATGATGACATCCCTCACCCTGTCCACAAAGTCCATGGTGTTCTGTATGTGGTGTTCTGAGCTGCCAACTAAAGGGATGAGTACAGACACCAGATATTTGGAAACATTGTAAGTGACAGAGTTAATCATGCTAACAATAGGTCTTAAAGGTACACCTTGTTTGTGGATTTTAGGTAAACCATACAGACTAGGTGTGGCCTCCCCTGGGTACAGTCTGTGGTACAGAATACGGTCAATAGCCTTGTCCTGCTCCAAATTTTCAGGCAATCTATTAACTTCTTCTTTCTTAAAATCATAAAAGAAGAGTAAACATCAGTCAGACTGGAGCTGACTCTGAGTCCCAGGACAGTAAATGTGTGAAAACATCAGACATTATTCAAGTCAAAAGTAACTTTAAAGAAAACAGTTCATGGTGAGTCTGGAAGACAACCTAAAGGTCAGAGGTCATTGTCAGGGGAGCATATCTTTGTGCTACATCCATCAGAGAGGTGATATTCCATTTTGTAAAGCCCCTTTTCCATAGTACCACTTAGTATTGGTACATACAGCACGGTTCTGCTTGGCTCAGTACGGTACACGTTGTGTTTCCATTATGATTTCAGTACTGGTTTCAGTGGGCGGGGTTCAAATTGATGTCACGCACCTCACCAGCTGATTGTAAGACCTTCAAACAGGTTTCAGTACAGGGTGAGAATTTATTTAGAAGTTTCTGGTAAATTAAAAGGAATACAGATTATTAAAATGATCAGGTTAAAATAAATAAATAAATATGTATATATATAAATATGTATATACATAAATAAATAAATAAATATGTATATAAATATGTGTATATGTAGTGGACTAAGCCTACGTCGAAACCCAGTCTAAGGTCAAAACTCTTGACCTTTAGAACCTTATAAATTATGAAAATAACAATATAAGCAATCAATCAGGAAAAATCATACGGCCATGATTTTTCCGTTGCTGCACCAAAAACATTTATGAAAACTGTACAACTATGATCTTTTACCCACATGAATGTGGGTAAGCACTTTACACAGACATTTCTAAATATCTGGGAGAATTTCTACTTGATAGAAAAGTTTAAGATGAAAGATGAAGTTTAAAGGGAGTAAGATTGAATGTGAGGGAAATTAAGTGTTCTCCAGAATCGACACTCTCCGGCTTTCTTCAGCTTTTCCTCACAGTACA